CTGGGGGCGGAGCTGGGTATGGTGACGATTGTCATCGTGGTTTTTTCCGTCTTCTTTTGTCCCTCTCTCATTGCTCTCTTCTTCAGGAGCTGAACGACCGGCTGGGAGCCGAGCTGAGGGCGGTGCTGGCGGGGTCAAGCCCGCAACAGGCCATTGATGATGCTTCGTTTATCAGCATTGATAGCAAGGGGGTTGACATTCGTGTGCGGCACGGCACCCAGGTGTGTAGAGGGGTGCTGTGCGGTGTGGGTGAATAGTGGCATGGCATGTGGGTGGCATTCCATGGTACCTCTAGCAGTGAGCCCCCAGCAGGCGATCGACGATGCTTCCTTCAAAAGCATTGATAGCAAGGGGATGGATGGGTATCCACTGCGACACGGCACTCAGGTGAAGAAGAGAGAGGGGCTGTGTGCAAGTGGGATGACATGGCATACAGGTGGGATGACATGGCATGCAGGTGGGATGACATGGCATGCAGGTGGGATGACATGGCATGCAGGTGGGATGACATGGCATACAGGTGGGATGACATGGCATGCAGGTGGGATGACATGGCATGCATGTGGGATGACATGGCATGCATGTGGGATGACATGGTGCATGTGCACGTCTATCTAGCCAGTGGTGAGATGACGCCCTGCACATGCCTCAATCTTGGTTGCAACCCAATCTCGCCCTTTCTCTCTGCAGTTCTCCGTACATCAAACACACTCGACTCGCTGCCAGCAGCAGAGGCAGCTCTTAAACCCTTACCCATACCCATCCCTCTCCCCTCTCTATCCCTTCCCACCCCATCAGTTCCACGTGCAGCGCCCCTCATTCACCACATCAGACGCCGTCGACTCGCTGCCAGCAGCAGAGGCCACAAGAAGTGAGCTAAAGCTCTCTCTTTCTCCCCACCCAATCCCCACTCTTCCCTTCTCCCAAACCCCCTAACCTTTCCTCTTCTGCAGCTCAACGTGCAGCGCCTCTCCTTCACCACATCAAACGCAGTCAACTCGTTGCCGGCAGCAGAGGTCCCATTGACTCGATTCAACGCTCAAACCTTCTCTTTTACCCCCAACCCTCTCCCCATCTCTGCAGTTCAACATGCAGCGCCTCTACTTCACCACATCAGACACAGTCGACTCGTTGCCAGCAGCAGAGGCAGCACACACACCCATACCCTCCCTCTTCATTGGCCCCAACTCCTCCCCACCCCTCCCCACTCCTTCAGTTCCATGTGCAGCGCCTGTCCTTCACCACATCAGACGCAGTCGACTCGCTGCCAGCAGCAGAGGCAGCTCTGCGTCGCATCCTCGCCTGCCCCTCCCTCGTGCTCCCCAACGGCACGCCCCTGCTCTGACAACAGAATGCTAGACCGTCTCCCTACTATGGACCGTGCACAGCCCCTTCTTCGGTGGCCAACCAAGCCGCTCAGCCGCAGCCTTGTGAAGGGATCTGCAGTGAAAGCGTTACCCCACCAAGGTGCTCCTCCTCTGCTGCTCACAGATCGCTCCAGATTACAGAACAAGCAATTTTGTTCCCAGCTGAATGGACGGTGGCTCAAACAAGACAATCTGAGTGCTCACAGATTGTTCCTGTTTGAAGGGGGTACTTTGATCTCGACTAGTTGCTGGCTCCAACAAGTGTGCCCTAACATCTCTGCCTCCGCTTGATTGCACTGTCACCATGCCTGCCTTTTCCACACTGTTTTAATTAGTTGTTTGTTTTATCCACCACCGTATGCCATGTAGGAACAGTATGTGCATAAACACCCAGGCCTATATTTATGTGTTGCCCAGCATTCAAAGAAATGTACAAAACACATTGGATTGAGCTTGCCAAGCCTGCGGCCCTTTCTAAGCTGACTCCTAACAGCAGCAGCAGCAAGATGGGCACCACACCATGCATGCATGCATGCCAGAGTAGGATTGATCCCCATTCAGCATAGCAGTCAGCTTTGCATGACTGCCTTGATGCTTGGCAGTGCGGTGCAGTGTGGTACCAGCCCCTAATGGTGCTTGGCAGTGCGGTGCAGCTGCATGAACGCACGCAGGCACAGTACCATGACATCCCGGGCTCGCTGCGAGGGAAGCGTGAGCTCCACCTCCTTGTCTGCGCTCACCACCACCCGCATGCGCTCCCGCTCGCCTGGTTCTGTTTCCACCTGATGGCACACACGGTGCAATGAGAGATGGGGAGGATGGAAGAGGAAGGGGGTGGGGGGCAATGCGAGTTGCACCTCCTTGTCTGCACTCACCACCACGCACATGCACTCCCGGTCACTCCGCGCTGCCTCCACCTGATGGCAGCAGGTGGAGAGAATGAGATATGGGAGAGCTAAGGGGCAGTGCAAGCTCACACATCACCCTCAAGGGAGGTAAGGGCGTTAATCTGAAGGGCGTTACCCTGAAGGCCGTCACTCTGAAACCCCCAGTATCAAAAACCAAACCATGAGCAAAACCCTGACGGGCAGTAACACGTTACCCTGAACGGGCTCCACCCTATGTCCAATGTCCTAAGCCCTAAACCCTGAGCGTTACCCTGAAGGGCGGGTCGTAGGTTGCTCTGACTTCCACTCTGTTGATGGCAGCGAGCGCTGTGAGCTTCACCACTTTGAACCGATTTCTACTGGCGTCCACCACTCGGTGCTCCCTCCGGCCTGACCGCCCGATGTCGTGCGTCTGGCGAGCAGCCAAGGCACGGAAGGAGGGAGGGGAATGGATAGACAAGAGAGGTGGGAAGTGCAGGGCAAGGGACAAGGAGAGGAGGATGTGGAGAGGGAGAGGGGTGCTGTTGAGTCGACTCAAAAGCAGTCGTTTGAGGACGAGGACGAACAACAAGGAGAGGAGGATGTGGAGAGGGAGAGAGGGGTGGGAGGGCAGGCTGGTTGTAGAAGGGCATGGTATCCAATGTACAGCAGCATGGCATGAAAGGCATGAAAAGGCTGATGATACCAACATCGCAGCACAACAGCACATGGCTACACGGGAACACATGGCTGCACCATGCACACACACAGTACCGCCCCCAGCACTAAACACTCCTCGGCACCCCCCCAGCACCCTCCAGCACCACCCACCCGCCATTGGCACTGACCTCCACTTCGGTGCTGCTGCTCAGCGCCAGTGTGAGATCCACATGCCTGGCCACGGCTGGGGTTGCACGGTTGCATGGTGGCACATAGTCCCATGGCAGTGACATAGTCACATAGTCACATAGTCTCATCATGCTCCCACCAGCCCCCCAATTTCCACACCCCCCCCCACCATGTGTCATGGGCACTGACCTCCACTTTGGTGCTGCCTGCTGCCACTATGAGATCCACATCCCTCGCCACTGCGGGGTCTGGTGGGCACAGGGGAGAGTGAGTGGGCACAGGGGAGAGTGAGTGGGCACAGGGGAGAGTAGGCACAAGTGAATGATGCAACAGCGCAGGGAGAGAGGCTGGATTAAAGGCGGAGCAGTGTGTAGTGAACAGCGCAAGAGGCTCGAGCGGGAAAGAGGCGGAGAAGGTTAGAAAGAGAGAGGGGGGGCTATAAACATCGAGAGAGTAGCAGGAAGAAAAGAGCAACGAGCAGATAGAGTGTGGGTGTGTATGAGCACTGAGGAACAAGAGGGGAGGAGAAAGAGAGAGAGGAGGGGCGATAAACATCAAGAGAGTAGCAGGGAGAAAGGAACAAGGAGCAGGTCGAGTGTGGGTGTGTATGGGCAAGGAGCAACGAGAGAGTGAGGGGGAGTTATGAGCATAGAGAGAGTATCAGGGAACAAGAAGCAACGAGCAGGTAGAGTGTGGGTGTGTAGTATGAGCAATGAGCAACAAGCGTACCAACAAGCACTTGCGGCGACAGCACTCGCAGCACCACCTCCTCCCCCTCCCCCTCCCCCTCCCCCTCCCCTTCCCCCTGCTGGGAGTGCACGTCTTGGGCGTGGAGGGGCCGCAGTTCCACCATGAGGCACTGATGTGCGTCTGCCACGTCTGCCTGATATGTTGTGCCCGTTGCACCTGCAACAGGGGGGAGGGGTACGACGTGGGGGAAAGAGGGCAGGGACGGCGAAAGGACAGGGGCCGCAGCTCCAGCATGAGGCACCGGTGCATGTGTGCCACGTCTGCTTGCTATCACATGCCCGTTTCACCTGCAACAAGGGGAGACGGGTGGATGGGCCAGGGTTGGGGAAACGGGGAGGGGGCAGGGAGGAGGGGCCGCAGCTCCAGCATGAGGCACTGGGAGGGGGGCTGGTGCACAGGGCCGCAGCAGCTCCAGCATGAGGCACTGATGCGCATCCACCTGGGTAGGGGCTAGCACAGGAACACTCACCGGGTATGGGTTGAGGGTCCAGGGTGTGAAACCGCCCTGGGGCCACGCGGAACCACTGGATGTGGCAGGAGAGGCCGGTAGAGGTGGGGAGAGGTGGGGTATGAAATACGCCATAGCACATTGACATGCACTCACCAGGAATGGGGTGGGGATCCAGGGCATGGAACCCCCCTGGGGGCACGTGGAACCACTGCATGCAGCAGGAGGACGAGCGCAGCCAGAGGGGGGGCGATAGGGGTACCGCACCTAACCTCGCAAGCACTCGCCGGGTATGGGGTGGGGATCCAAGGAGTAAAACCCCCCTGGAGGCACACGAAACGAAACCACTGGATGTGACAGGAGGAGGGGCGCAGCCAGGCAAGGGGAATGAGGGGTAGGGGCTAGCGCAAGGGCACATGAATGGGTCTAGGCCAGGGAGACTCACCGGGTATGGGGTGGGGATCTAAGGCATGGAACCCCCCTGGGGGCACGCGGAACCATTGGATACGGCAGGAGGAGGGGCGCAGCCAGGCAGGTGCGGGAGGAGACGGCGGGAGGTGCAGGTGGAAGAGCGACGTGTGGTAGGGCCCTCCTGATATACAGAGCGTGGTGCTTCTTTCTGAGGCTTGGGGGGTGGCCGCAGGGCGGGACCCTGCACTCTCTGCCTCTGCCGACGCTCTGCTCTCCCGTCTGCCTTCTCCTTTATCCTCATAGCCTCCCCTTATGCCTTCAATCCCTCCATGCACTTGCTCGTGCCCTTCCCCCACGCGACCTTCCAACCCTTCCTGCCCTCGCTCATCCCCCCCTCGCTCATGCCTGGCATGTGCCCCTCCCCTGCCGCCCTCCAGCAGCACGGCCCCCTCAGCCTCACCCCGCTGCTGCGCCCCCTGCATACCACGAGCCTCCTCTGTGCCTGCAGCCTCTGCAGAAGCAGCAGCCCTCCCAGCACTCCTACAAGTGTCAGCAACAGGAGCAGCTGGCAACGATTCTGAGGCAGGCGGCCCATCAGCATAGCCTGCAGATACTGCAGCTGGAGCAGCAGCAGCAGCAGCAGCAAGGGTGGCGGTCGCAGCCTCAGAAGCGGCAGGAACGGAGACAAGGTTAGCAGGCGCAGGAGCGATGGGGGTGGCGGTGGTGGCAACAGAGTTGAATGAGCGTCCGAAGGAGTCCAGCACGGTGGCGGAGCACAGCAGGTACACGCCCACGTGGCGCGCCGTCACTGGCAGGTGCGCTGACGTGGCGCCGTCGATCGGGCGATGTGAGTCGGAGCCGCTGCTGGCCTGCCACCTGGCGAACAGGATGAGCGGGAGAGGGGGGAGAGATTAAGTGGCATCGGTAGGTGCGACTCAGAGCCCCTGCTAACCTGCCACCTGGTGGTGATTGATAGTGTGTACATGTGATTGCCTGCATCATTTTCTATACGGGTGCGAATTATTTCGCGCTTGGCGCCACTAACGACCAGAAAGAGCACTTTGCTTGGCTATGGAGAGCACGTCTATCTAGTCCAGGCGTGCGACTTGACTTGGTCCAGGCGCGCGACTTGGTCCAGGCGCGTGCATTGGTCCAGGCGCGCGCCTTGGTCCAGGCGCGCGCGCGCCAAGGTCCAGGCGCACGCCTTGGTCCGGGCGCGCGCCTTGGTCCCGCGCGCTTGGCGCGCGCGACTTGGTCCGGGCGCGCGCCTTGGTCCGGGCGCGCGCCTTGGTCCGGGCGCGCGCCTTGGTCCGGGCGCGCGACTTGGTCCGGGCGCGCGAATTGGTACGGGCGCGCGAATTGGTCCGGGCGCGCGACTTGGTCCGGGCGCGCGACTTGGTCCGGGCGCGCGACTTGGTCCGGGCGCGCGCCTTGGTCCGGGCGCGCGACTTGGTCCGGGCGCGCGACTTGGTCCGGGCGCGCGACTTGGTCCGGGCGCGCGCCTTGGTCCGGGCGCGCGCCTTGGTCCGGGCGCGCGCCTTGGTCCGGGCGCGCGCCTTGGTCCGGGCGCGCGCCTTGGTCCGGACGCGCGCCTTGGTCCGGGAGCACGCCTTGGTCCGGGAGCGCGCCTTGGTCCGGGAGCGCGCCTTGGTCCGGGCGCGCGCGCCTTGGTCCGGGCGCGCGCCTTGGTCCGGGCGCGCGCCTTGGTCCGGGCGCGCGACTTGGTCCGGGCGCGCGCCTTGGTCCGGGCGCGCGCCTTGGTCCGGGCGCGCGACTTGGTCCGGGCGCGCGCGAATTGGTCCGGGCGCGCGCGAATTGGTCCGGGCGCGTGACTTGGTCCGGGCGCGGGCCTTGGTCCGGGCGCGCGCCTTGGTCCGGGCGCGCGACTTGGTCCGGGCGCGCGCCTTGGTCCGGGCGCGCGCCTTGGTCCGGGCGCGCGACTTGGTCCGGGCGCGCGCCTTGGTCCGGGCGCGCGACTTGGTCCGGGCGCGCGACTTGGTCCGGGCGCGCGCCTTGGTCCGGGCGCGCGACTTGGTCCGGGCGCGCGACTTGGTCCATGCGCGCGCCTTGGTCCGGGCGCGCGCCTTGGTCCGGGCGCGCGCCTTGGTCCGGGCGCGCGCCTTGGTCCGGGCGCGCGCCTTGGTCCGGGCGCGCGACTTGGTCCGGGCGCGCGACTAGGTCCGGTCGAGCGCCTTGGTCCGGTCGCGCGCCTTGGTCCGGGCGCGCGCCTTGGTCCGGACGCGCGCCTTGGTCCGGGCGCGCGCCTTGGTCCGGGCGCGCGCCTTGGTCCGGGCGCGCGAATTGGTCCACCCGCGCGCCTTGGTACACGCGCGCGCCTTGGTCCACGCACGTGCCTTGGTCCACGCGCGTGCCTTGGTCCACGCGCGCGCCTTGGTCCATGCGCGCGCCTTGGTCCACGCGCGCGCCTTGGTCCACGCGCGCGCCTTGGTCCACGCGCGCGCCTTGGTCCACACGTGCGCCTTGGTCCACGCGTGCGCCTTGGTCCACACGTGCGCCTTGGTCCTCGCGTGCGCCTTGGTCCACGCGTGCGCCTTGGTCCACACGCGCGAATGGCTGTGACGAATGGCTCAAGGGCAGGCGGCACAGCATGCAGGGCGTGCAGCACTAGTGAGTGGACTTCAGCCATGGCTCACCAGTGCAAGTGAGTCATCCAGCAGCCAGCTTACCACTGCATGTGGACGGCCGTGACGAAGGGCTCGAGGGCAGAAGATACGGCATGCAGGGCGTGCAGCACTGCACCCACCTCTGCTCTCCCCTCCACCTCCAGTGACACCGCCTCCTCGTCCGACAGCTCTGGTGCGCGTTGGAATGCGATGGTAGTGTGTGGAGGTGGGTTGTGTTGGATGTGGGGGTTTCAAGAGGAGAAATGGGAGGAAGGGAGAGGTGGAGAGAAGCAAAATTATTATGCCAAAAGAGGACTAATTTGGTAACACAGGGCTGACCAGACAGCAGGCAATAGAGCTGACTTGGGAATGCAAGTTGACCTGGCGATATAAGCTGACCTGGCGATATAAGCTGACCTGGCGATATAAGCTGACCTGGCGATATAAGCTGACCTGGCGATATAAGCTGACCTGGCGATATAAGCTGACCTGGCGATATAAGCTGACCTGGCAGTGCAAACTGACATGGCCATACAAGCTGACCTGGCAGCACGATGGGCCCCGGAGCAGAGAGCACCTCATCGCCCCATGTGCCATCAGATAGCCGCAGGCGACAGCTGGTGGCGCAGGGAGGGTGTTGAGAGGGCAGTGAATGGGGAGAGGAGGAAGTCAGGGAGGGGGAGGGAGAGATCGAGAGAAAGGGAGAGCAGGCGGGAGGAAGTGAGGGAGAGCGTGTGGGAGGAAGTGGGGGAAGGGAGGCTGGGATTGGGGGAGCGAGTGGGCAAGGGAGTGGGGTTGGGTATAGTTCAGCTGAGATGGAAAAGAGAGGATGCAGCGAGTGACCCTGCAACCCCACTCACCCCGCCACGCCACCCCACCACAACCCACCCCATTCACCCCACCACTCCAAACCCACTCACCCGGCCACCACACAGCAGCCGTAGTCAGCCTCCTGAGGCACATACGTGCACCCTTTTGCCCCCTCTATGCGCTCTTGCCCTCACCCCCCCAACCCCTACCCCCCCAACGAACCCCACTCACCCCGCCACCACACAGCAGCCATAGTCAGCCTCCTGAGGCACATACGTGCGCCCCTCTGCCCCTTCTATCCGCTCCATCCGCCCGTCCCGCCCCTGCCTGTACCACGCCACCCATACGTCCCCCTCCCCCGCCCCCCCTTCTCCCCTTCCACCCTCCCCTGATCTCCCCTCCCCCAGCCCGCCTTCTCCCCCTCCCCTCTCCTCCACTCCCCTCTCCCCCCCTCCCCTCTCCCCCACTGCAGCGCGCTCTAGCATCTCCCCGCCTGCCTGCAGCACGCCCCCCTCCAACACACTGATACACACACGGCGGTCTGAAAGGCAGGGGAGGAAGGGAGTGTGGGTGTGGGTGACCAGGGGAGTGGGGGAGCGGCGGAGCAGGCAGGGGTAGGAACAGGAAGAGCATGTGAGCGGCCTGGTGTGACTAACTGGGGTGACTAACTGGGGTGACTAAGCAGCCATCCATGACAGGAGCACCTGGTGTGACTGTATCGGTGGTGAGAGCAGCCACCTCCCCAGCGGCCCCATCGGCCCGCACAGGAGTGAACTCCACTCGCAGGCGACTCCCCACGTCCTCCGCTGTCACCCTGTACGTGCCTGCACAGCGGTCAGATCAGTGCACAGGTGGTTACTGAATTGGACAACCGCACACTCAGGTACTCCATCAGACTGCGTCCGTCGACTGAATTGACGAAAATTAATTCATTCCACTTTGAGACCTGCGCCCAAGGTATCCTCACCTTGAGACCTGCGCCCAAGGTATCCTCACCTTGAGACCTGCGCCCAAGGTATCCTCACCTTGAGACCTGCGCCCAAGGTATCCTCACCTTGCCGCCCGACGAGCTGCTCCTCCCCTGAGGGCGTCACTCTCACCCACGCCACCCTGCACTCGCCCTGCTGCCTGCAGAGGGAGGGGGCACAAATTGGGGGAGCGCCGATGGGGCATACGGGGGAGGGCGGATGGGGCATACGGGGAGGGCGGATGGGGCATACGGGGAGGGCGGATGGGGCATACGGGGAGGGCGGATGGGGCATACGGGGAGGGCGGATGGGGCATACGGGGGAGGGCGGATGGGGCATACGGGGAGGGCGGATGGGGCATACGGGGGAGGGCGGATGGGGCATACGGGGAGGGCGGATGGGGCATACGGGGAGGGCGGATGGGGCATACGGGGAGGGCGGATGGGGCATACGGGGAGGGCGGATGGGGCATACGGGGAGGGCGGATGGGGCATACGGGGAGGGCGGATGGGGCATACGGGGAGGGCGGATGGGGCATACGGGGAGGGCGGATGGGGCATACGGGGGAGGGCGGATGGGGCATACGGGGAGGGCGGATGGGGCATACGGGGAGGGCGGATGGGGCATACGGGGAGGGCGGATGGGGCATACGGGGAGGGCGGATGGGGCATACGGGGGAGGGGGACACACAAAAGAGGGAAAAACGGGTGGGGTGCATGAGAAAATAAGCGAGAGGGGACTCACAGGGAAGGAAGCTGAAGGACTGCCGTGCTGACGCGACCAGTAGGCGAAGGGGGCAGAAAGCAAGAGCTCACATGCAAGAGAACATTCACTTCACAGCACATGCAGTGCACATTCACAGCACATAAGGCATATGCCGGCCACTTGCAGGGCATACGCAGTGCAGGGCACGTGTGCAGGGCATATGCAGTGCAGGGCATATGCAGTGCAGGGCATACGCAGTACAGGGCATATGCAGTACAGGGCATATGCAGTACAGGGCATATGCAGTACAGGGCATATGCAGTACAGGGCATATGCAGTACAGGGCATATGCAGTACAGGGCATATGCAGTACAGGGCATATGCAGTACAGGGCATATGCAGTACAGGGCATATGCAGTACAGGGCATATGCAGTACAGGGCATATGCAGTACAGGGCATATGCAGTACAGGGCATATGCAGTACAGGGCATATGCAGTACAGGGCATATGCAGTACAGGGCATATGCAGTACAGGGCATATGCAGTACAGGGCATATGCAGTACAGGGCATGTGTGCAAGGCACAATACCCGCCATGGTAGAGCGCGCGGCAGGTGAGCACCCCTCCAGGCCTCACATCGCCCTCCACCTCCAGACGCACACACACTGGAGGGGCTGTGCGGGTATAGGGAGGAAGGGGTGAGGGAGAGGGGAAGAAGGGAGGGGGTGAATGCATGAGAGGACATGCCTGGCAGGTGAAGAGCCCTCCAGGCCTCGCATTGCCCTCCACCTCCAGACGCACACACGCTGGAGGGGCTGTAGGGGCGGAAAGAGAGGGAGAGAGAGGGGGACGACAGGAAGAGGGGAGAGAGAGTAGAGGGGCGTGAGTGCACAAGAGAAACTTCATGAATATGAGCTGCGCAACCTCCTCACCCACCCCCTCTTCAGCCCCTTACCTGGCATGATGGGTCCCACGGGACTGTTCTCCACAGCAGCGCCCTCCTCCCCCATTGTCTCTCACCCCCTGCCATCCCCCATTTCCTCGTTTCACTCTCATTCCGCGTTTCCTCGCTTCCCCCCCGCCTCAATCTCCCACTGCAGCCCCTTACCTGCCATGATGGGCCCAACAGGACCGCTCTCCACAGCAGCGCCCTCCTCCCCATCGTCCCTCACTGGCACGCACACCACCACCACCACCCGCCCCACCTCCTCCGCCCCCACGCGCAGCCCCCCCTCCTCCTCCCCCTCCTCCTCCCCCTGGTGGTTGAGGGGGTGTATGCGGCGCCTGTCACTCATGTCAGGCAGCATCTGCAGGGATGGAGAGCCGTGGGGATGGGTGGGGGGCCGGTAAGTGGGAGTTGGGAGGAGTGTTGTTGGAATGACTATGTGGCGATTGCCAATGCATGAGTGTTGGGATTAACAAAAAAAAAAAAAAAAAAAACCACTGGTGTGGCAGCATGTTGGGGTTGGCAGCACAAGAAAGCAAGCAAGCAAGCAAGCAACCTAGCAAGCTTTCACATGCGAATGGGCAAGCGGATGCGTAATAAGGACTCATAACGAAATACATACCGAGCCAGGAGCCTCGAAATTCACTGCATAACAAGGGACTCGCACGCACATACCGAGAACCATTGCACGCGCGTGTTGCCCTGCCTGCCGCCCGCATACGTCCATCTGGGCACCAGCCGCCCGCCCTCCACCAGATCGCCCTCCACCCACACGTCACTAACGGACGGCAGCGCCGCCCGGATCGGGCCCGCCGTGCAGACGGCCTGGGGGGTGCCGACCGCCCCGTCGGATCGCACAGGGGTGACGCGGAAGGAGAGGAAGCAGCCCACGTCACTTGCGGACGGCACGTGCCGACTCATGCCGCCCCCCGCCATCCGGGGCTGCTCGCCGTCATCGTCTTCTACCAGCTCGCCGTGTGGCCCCGGCTGGCCGTCCTCGTCCTGGACGGCAAAGAGGGGGTTTGGTGGGAGGGTGGAAAGTGGTGGTTGGGGAAAGCGGGAAGAGCCACCACTCACTGCATTTCGCGTCTACTTACGTTTTGCCACCACTCACTCACTGCGCATCGGCCTGCGTTGAGTTGGTCAGCATTGTCAAGCTGTAGTAAAGGAGGCAAAAGAAGAGAACAGCACCACAACTCCCCGCACTTTGCACCGCCCATCGCAATTCACCACCATTCAACCACTGCTCACCGCATATCGGTACCACTCGAGCAGCGAGTCCCCCTCGGCGCCTCCCTGGTACGTGTAATACCCCACCAGCACACCCCCCTCCTCCTCCTCGCCCTCCATATCCGCACTCAACACCTGCGGCTCGCCCTCTGGGGGGAGATAGGGGCGAGGGTGAGCGGGGTGGAAGGAAGGGGGAAGGGGTTGGGGATTAGTGCGTGGAAAAGCGGGTATCAGCAGCAGCCCCACTCTGACACGTGTATTTCCCCATCAGCCATCAGCCATCAGCCATCAGCCATCAGCCATCAGCCATCAGCCATCAGCCATCAGCCATCAGCCATCAGCCATCAGCCATCAGCCATCAGCCATCAGCCATCAGCCATCAGCCATCAGCCATCAGCCATCAGCCATCAGCCATCAGCCATCAGCCATCAGCCATCAGCCGTCAGCCGTCAGCCGTCAGCCATCAGCCATCAGCCATCAGCCATCAGCCATCAGCCATCAGCCATCAGCCATCAGCCATCAGCCATCAGCCATCAGCCATCAGCCATCAGCCATCAGCCATCAGCCATCAGCCATCAGCCATCAGCCATCAGCCAGCAGCCATGCCAACCATTCACCCACCTGTGACAGCAGCAGAGGACACGGCAACCACAGGCCTGCCTTTGACGCCATCTGCCCGCACCGGCACCACCCGCACTGTTACAGCCCACCCACCTGTAACTGCACCAGTCAACACAGCAACAGGCCCACAGCCCACCCACCTGTGACAGCAGCAGAGGACACGGCGACCACAGGCCTGCCTTTGACGCCATCTGCCCGCGCTGGAACCAGCCGCACTGCCAGGTGCGACCCTATGGCCTCCAGAGGCACTGTGAGCGCCTGGTGGTGATCCAGGGTGGAAGAGGAAGGACCAAGTGAAGGGATTGCAGGGAGGGAGGAGTGATGCATTTGAGTACCAGGGGGAAAGGAGACGGATGATGGCACACTCACCAAGGAGTCAGGTGTCTCAGAACAGAAGTGATGAGTTATGGGTCATGGGAAGAGCGTAGGGCGTGTGTCTAAAGAATCTGATGCCACCTCGCTACGCCCCTCTTTGCTGCACCCCACCAGGCTGCACCCCACCAGGCTGCACCCCGTCGCGCTCCACTCACCATGGAGTTGGGGGTCTCAGCAGTGATGGGCTGAAGGTCCGCAGTTGAGAGGGAGTGGGGCGTGTGAGTGAAGAACCATTCCACCTCGCTGCGCCCCTCCTCTGCCCACTGCAACCGCGCTCGCACCCGCACCTCCCCACCTTCCACCAGTGGCCCTTCTATTGCCACGTCGGTGGCTCGCGGCAGGGCTGGTGGTGGGAAGAAGAGGGGCGAGGGGGTGCCAGTGGAGGAGAAAGGGGAGGAGGGACGATGGAGGAAGGAAAGGAAGGGACGGAGGAGAGAAATAGCGGAGGAGAGGAGGTTAGTGCAAGCAGGTGGGTGAAGTAAGGTGTGCAGGCACACAGAGAGGGAGTGCCTGGTTAAGAATTCAGGGTTTGGGGTTTATGAGGTGGATGCATGGATGGAAAAGGGGGAGCTTCTTGGTACATGCTTGGGACGATATAGCAGGCCGCAGGGCGAACTCGGACAGGGCAGGGCAGGGCAGGGCAGGGAAAGGTGCGGCACGTACGGAGGCAGATGATGGGCGAGCGTGCTGTGACCGGCTCTCCTATCAGACCTGCTCAGAAATACAGAAAGGCGGTGATGAGGGGTGGGATGGGTTGATGAGGGTCGAGATGGGGTGATGGGGGACGAAGTGGGGTGATGTGAAAAAGGCTGAGATGGAGTGATGCGGGGTATTTGGGTTGATGAGGAGGAATGCATGCAGAGACTCGATGGGACGTGGAGAGAATCACCTGAAGGTAGCACACAGCACACAGCACACACCGCACTCCGTCTGTATGCATCACCTGAGGAGGCGACTGGCGTGTAGCGCAGCAGCAGGTGGCAGCCCACGTCATCCGCCTGCACTGCGTACTCCCTGCCCTCGCCCACTGGCACTAGTCTGAGCGGATTGGGAGAAAAGGACGTGAGGAGAGGGGCGGGAGGGAGTGAGACTGATACACGAGGCAATGGATGGAGAGTGGCAGCCCACGTCATCCGCCTGCACTGCGTACTCCCTGCCCTCGCCCACTGGCACTAGTCTGGAGTATGGGGGAAAGGGAGTGAGGGTGGTGGGGTAAGTGACACGAGTCACAGTTTACATGAGAAGGGAGTCTATCGCTCTTCGCAGCAGCACGTGGCAGGCAGCCCACATCATCCGCCTGTACTGAGTACTCTCTGCCCTCACCCACTGGAACTCACCTCACACCACCTCACACCACCTCACACCACCCATGCCCCACTCACCGCACACGGCCGCTGCTACTGCCAACACCAGCCACACTCCTTCCTTCTTCCCCTTCCTCCACTCCCCCCTCCGCCTCCCCCCCTTCCTCCCGGAACCACTGCAGCAGGCTCGCCCCCTCCGCCCCCCCAAAGTAAGTTCCCCTCGCCCTCAGCAACCCCCCCCAGCACCACCCATGCGGCCATGCCCATCACATTACAGATTCCCCACTCACCTCACGCGGCTAATACCAGCACCAGCCACACCGCTTCCTTCTCCTCCCTCTCCCCCTTCCCCCTCCGCCACCCCCCCCTCCTCCCGAAACCACTGCAGCAAACTCGCGCCCTCCGCCCCCCCAAAGTAACTCCCCCTCGCTTGCAGCACCCCCCCCAGCAGTGCTTCCCCCTCCACCGCCACCTGCTGCACCTGGGGAGGGGCTGGAAGGGGAGAGGGAAGGGTGGGGGGAAACGTGGGAGGAGCAGGAGCAAGCATGGGGGAAGCATGGGGGGAGAGTGAACCAGCATAGGCATAAAATCGCTTGAAGCACTCTCCCCAGCAGTGCTTCCCCCTCCACCGCCACCTGCTGCACCTGGGGAGGGGCTGGAGAGGGAAAGGGGAAGAGGGAAGCGTGAATGGGGAGGGGGAGGGGGAGGGGGAATGGAAGCGGGTGAGCCAGCATAAGCATAACATTGCCTGCAGCAAAAAGGCTTCTCCTCGCCCGCAGCACCCCCCCCCAGCAGCGCCTCCCCCTCCACCGCCACCTGCTGCACCTGGGGAGGGGCTGGAAGGGGAGAGGGAAGGGTGGGGGGAAGCGCGGGAGGAGCAGGAGCAATCATGGGGGAAGCATGGGGGAAGCATGGGGGAAGCATGGGGGAAGCATGGGGGAAGCATGGGGGGAGAGTGAACCAGCATAGGCATAAAATCGCTTGCAGCACCCCCCCCAGCAGTGCTTCCCCCTCCGCCACCTGCTGCACCTGGAGGGGCGCTGGAGAGGGAAAGAGGAAGAGAGAAGCGTGAATGGGGAGGGGGAGGGGGAGGGGGAATGGAAGCGGGTGAGCCAGCATAAGCATAACAATGCCTGCAGCAAAAAAGCTTCTCCCGCCCGCAGCATTCCCCCCAGGAGCGCCTCCCCTTCTACCGCCACCTGCTGCACCTGGGGGGGCGCTGGAGGGGGAGCGGAAGGGGGAAGGGGAGGCGGGAGGGGGAGGGGAAGGGGAAGGGGTTGAGCCAGCATAAAATAACATTGCTTGCAGCGCAGCAATTCCCCAGAGTAGCTTCCCCTCGGACCCCGTGCTTGCTCACAACTCACTCTCACTCCTCTTTCCAACCATCCATTCCCACCACTAGCAGTAAGATGAGAGGTGGCAGCGGCGGGTTGCCCCCTGACCCCTGCAGTAGACTCTGGGGTGAAGGAGAACTGCACTGCAGCACACACCCCTCCCCACCCCTCTACACCCAATCTCACCAGCAGCAATGAGGGGAGAGGTGGCAGAGGCGGGTTCCCCCCAGACGCCTGCAGCAGACACCGGGGTGAAGGCGAGCTGCAACACACACACACCCCTCCCCACCCCTCTGCACCCATTCTCACCAGCAGCAATGAGGGGAGAGGTGGCAGAGGCGGGTTCCCCCCTGACGCCTGCAGCAGACACCGGGGTGAAGGAGAGCTGCAACACACACCCCACGTCGTGCAGAGATAGGGAGTACTCCTCCCCACCCCTCTGCACCTCCTCCCTTGTTGTCCCGCCCTGAGCTGTGGGCATAAGGCGAGTCCAACTGAGTGGTAGGGGGTGGGGATGAGAGGGGAAGGTGGAGAAGGAGGAAGAGGAGCATTTGGTTTGGGAGGGACAGGGGAGGGGGCGAGAACAAGTCCAAGGTAAGGTTGGGTGGGTGGGTAGGTAGAGTGCAATGAAGGAGGAAAAACCAAGGGGAGGGGCAAAAGAGAGGGAGAAGAACCTTGGAGGCCTGTTGCACCTCACAACAAGAAACTTACGAGTAAATCAAATCTCTGTGTGCATTAGCCCTTTAACCCATTTTTTTCTCTTTCTGTTTTGTCGAGTCAATAAGAGAAGCATCTAGGAGGTTTTACTCCACTGTCCTAGCCCCCACCTGTACTGGCACGGCCCTGGCTCGCCCGAGCTCCACCCCACCTCCACCATGGCTGTCAGCACACCGCCCTCCACCGCCTCCCCTCCCAACGACACGTGGTGCACTCGTGGTATGCCCGGGCCTGTGTGGAGGCATCGATGCAGGGAGGCAGTCATGTATAAGAGATCCAAACACATATGTGCACACGCACACGTAGGCTGTCAGCACACCCCCCTCCACCGCCGCCCCTCCCAGCGACACATGGCGCACTCGTGGTATGCCGGGTCGTGTGTGGGTGCATGGGGTGCATGGGTGCAGGGCAAGGACTCACAGGTGGATGTATGCACACAGGCATGGACGCACGCATGCATACCCCGACTCATCAGGACCTTTTCATGTCAATGGGGATGGGAAAGCACAGCTTCCTGGGAGTGAAAACACACCTCCTCGTGTTAGTGGGAGTGGGGAACCTACCAAGGCAACTGGTGGAGTGATGAGGAGGAGGGGCGTGCAGGGCTGGCTGTGGAGCAGCGGGGTGTAGCGCACATAACGTGACACCACACAACCTCATGGCATGGCACATACATACACCGGTCGTCTCTGGTGTTGGATTAGGAACGTACCAGGGACAACCGGCGGTGTGGTGAGGAGGAGGGGCGTGCAGGGCTGGCCGTGGAGCAGCGGGGTGCAGCGCACAGCGAGACATGCATGCACGTCCGAGAAGGAGGGCGTGTACACCTGATGAGATGGGAGAGACGAGAGGGGTGGGAGGGAGGGACGGTGTGATGTGAGTGACATGCATGCACGTCTGAGAAGGAGGGCGTGTACACCTGATGAGATGGGGAGAAAGGGTGGTGCGAGGCAGGGTGGCGGGGGGCAGGGTAGTGAGGGGCAGGGTGGTGGGGTGGGTGAGGTGAGATGCAGGGTGGTTCTTCTGAGGCGTCTGCCTCTAGAGTGCAGCGCACAGCGAGACATGCATGCACGTCCGAGAAGGAGGGCGTGTACACCTGGTGGGATGGGAGAGACGAGAGGGGTGGGAGGGAGGGACGGTGTGATGTGAGTGACATGCATGCATGTTTGAGACAGAGTCACGGAGGGCGTCAAAGCAGACAGTGGTGGGAGGGAGCAATGCAATGCATATGGCTCCCATGCACAACACACCTAGTTATTGAGGCTGCCTACTCAAGAGTGTGTCCTCACCTCCCCTTCAGCATCGGGAATTGCAGTGAACTCCGTTGCTCCTTTGCCCCGCCGCAACCACTCATACCGCACCGCCACACCAGCCGACACTGATGATGGCCCCTCCCCTTCTTCAGTCAACTCACCTCCCCTTCAGCATCGGGAATGGCAGTGAACTCCATCGCCCCTTTGCCCCGCCGCAGCCACTCATACCGCATCGCCACACCCGCAGACTCCGATGCTTCCTCGTCAACTCCCTCCCCCTCCTTTCCCCTCTCCCTTGACCCTACTCCCTCATCTTCGACTGAAAATCCCACATTCTCCCCCTCATCCTCCTCCACATCTTTCCCCCCATCACTCCCCCCATCCTCACCCCCATCCTCGCCCCCATCTCCCCTCGTCCGTGTCCCAGCACTGGAGCGCTGCAGCAGCAGGCGGCAGTGGCAGGGGCGGTCCTCTATGGGCCTGTCGAGCAGCAGCGAGGCGAGGGTGTAGCCGGCAGGGAGCAATGGTGCCCACTGGGTGGCAAGGAACGACACCAGCGAGGCTGTGGGGACAGGGGGGTGGGGAGGATGGGGGAGGGGAGATAGGCAGGCGGCAGTGGCAGGGGTGGTCCTCTATGGGGCGGTCGAGCAGCAGCGAGGCGAGGGTGAAGCCGGCAGGGAGCATGGGCGCCCAGTGCAATGCGAGGAAGGACACCAGGGAGGCTGGGACGGGGGCAGGGGATAGAGGGGGGGAAGCTGGGGGGTTCAAGCAGCAGCAGCGACGCGAGGGTGAAGCCGATGGGGAGCATGGACGCCCACTGCATTGCCAGGAAGGACACCAGGGAGGCTGGAGGAAGAGGGGGGACAGGTGGGGGGGGAGGGAGAAGGGGGGATGTGAGGCAGGCACAGATGGGAGGTTGAAAGGTATATGGCAGCGGCAGGGTCAGGGGCAGGGGCAACGCTTGATGGGTGGCACCTGGCAGGTCACCGACCGAGGGGATATGGGCAGCCAACCTATGCGCACAAGCACAGGGCTCCATGCCCTCCCCTCACTCCTTGATTATGTGTAAAAGTCATACCTGGTATGTCGGAGATCAAAGAGGATGGTGGTAGCCATCCCATGCACACACACATGGGCCCGTGCCCTCCTCCTGCTTCCTCCACCGCCGCACGGTCATCCTCACTTATGGCTGCTCATCCACAAACGCATGCATGCATGCGTGCACATGCACGGGTGGACACACAGATACACACACGCGTGCATGCACGCACACACGCGGGCACACAGAAGCGCACACATGCAGAGGCGCGCACGTGCAAACATGAAGCACAAGCTGCTGCATTGAAGATTGAGAATAAATACAAGAAGGGGAGGGATACAGGACAAGGAAGGTGACGAGACGATGGTGCAAGTGCAACCTATTACAAAAATACAAGAAAGGTGAGGTGAGGAGGGAGGAGGCACCTGAGGAGTTGAAGGAGAGCAGGGAGGAGGCGGCGAGCAGAATGGCCGCAAAGTGCGGAGCAGGCGTCTCCTCTATTGGGTTGTCATCCACACGGAGGTGCTGTTAGTTGGTGTGGGACCGGGGAAAAAGGGAAAGGGAGAGGGGGAGAACGAGTCAGAGTGCATCTGTCCCTCGTGAACGAGAATCAGAGGAGGGAGTTGCAGCGCACTGAGCAAAGACCGGACATTGCATGGAAGATGGGTAGACCGAGCATGAAGCACAGGGCTCAAAGGGCATGGAACATGGAGCATGGACAGGTAGGCAGAGCAATGTAGGACATAGGCTTCTAGAGTGGGCCGGAGAGGGAAGGTGGGGCAAGGTGGGGCACGGACCTCTAGGGCGGGCAGGAGGGGGAAGGATTCAAAGGAGGCGATGCTGTTGCTGCTGGCTGTGAGCACCTGGTGGAAAAGAGAGAGGGGCAGATTGGTAGCAGATAGGTGGACAGGGAGACACAGAAAGAGGCGCGTTGGAAGAGAGAGAAGTGGGTTCATCTCTTCCATTTCCAGCGAGCAAGGACAGCCCATGGTGGGAGCAAGGTTGCGAGGCAAGTCGACGACGGTGGCATGCGTGTGTGTGTGGCTGTGTGTAAACTGGTTCAGCTCAGTTGAGCAAGATCAAGTTCGGTTGAGCTGGGTTGGGATGCGCACCTTAAGTCGGGGTTGAGACGGCATGTCAATGAGACAGGGCGAGTTCTGGGACACTGAGAGGAACTGAGGAGTGCGGTGGGGAGGGGTGTGTCTGTGCTATGCTCGGTTCAGCTCGGTTGAGACAGCATGTCAATGAGGCAGAGCAAGTTCTGGGACACTGAGAGGAACTGAGAGGCGCAGTGGGGAGGGGGGGGTGTTTGTGCTATGCTCGGTACAGCTCGGTTCAGCTAGTTTGAGGATACACACCTTGAGGCGGGGTTGAGACGGCATGTCAACGAGGCAGAGCGCGTTCTGGGATACTGAGAGGAACTGAGAGCGGTGCAGAGGGGTGCAGCGGGTAGGGGGGATGGCCGGGTGAGGGGTTGGGTGGAAGAGTGGACGGGTGAAAGCATGGGTTGGGGGGAATGGGTGGGAACAGAGGTGAGATGGGGGGCGAGCAGGTGATGGTGAGGAGGGTTGGGAGTGGAGAGGAGAGGGAAGCAGTGCACATGGCAATGTTTGCATTGGATGGAACGAGTGTGAAGCAGGAGGCATGAAGGTGAGGAGAACGTGGGCATGGCATGGGAAAGAGCGGGCGTGGCATGGGCATGGCGTGGGTGTGGCGCGGGCATGGGACAAGAGCAGCAAGCATACCTCGAGTGAGGGGAGTCGAGGCAGCGATGCGAGGGAGGAGAGGTGATTGCCCGCCAGGAACAGTTGCTGGGGGAAAGGAGGAGGGGGGGAAGTGGGAGAAAGGGGGAAAGGAGACGGACTTCTGAGCTGACTCAAAATCGATGCGAGGGAGGAGAGGTGATTGCCCGCCAGGAACAGTTGCTGGGGGAAAAGGGAAGCGGGTTGGGGGAGAGAAGGGGAGGGGCGGGGGAAGAAACATGATTGTCACAGTGGCGAGCGTGAATGATGAACTGTGCACCGCACGCTCATACACTACAACGCACGCTCGTACGCTGCACCGCACGCTCACACGCTGCACCGCCTGCTCACACGCTGCACCGCACGCTCACACGCTGAACCGTGCAGGCGCGTTGGGGACTGGAGCTGCAGTCCCAGCTTGGGGACTGGAGCTGCCGTTCCAGCGTGGGGACTGGAGCTGCCGTCCCAGCGTGAGGACTGGAGCTGCAGTCCCAGCTTGGGGACTGGAGCTGCAGTCCCAGCCTTGGGACTGGAGCTGCAGTCCCAGCTTGGGGACTGGAGCTGCAGTCCCAGCTTGGGGACTGGAGCTGCAGTCCCAGCGTGAGGACTGGAGCTGCAGTCCCAGCTTGGGGACTGGAGCTGCAGTCCCAGCTTGGGGACTGGAGCTGCCGTTCCAGCTTGGGGACTGGAGCTGCCGTCCCAGCGTGAGGACTGGAGCTGCAGTCCCAGCGTGAGGACTGGAGCTGCAGTCCCAGCGTGAGGACTGGAGCTGCAGTCCCAGCTTGGGGACTGGAGCTGCAGTCCCAGCTTGGGGACTGGAGCTGCCGTTCCAGCGTGGGGACTGGAGCTGCCGTCCCAGCGTGAGGACTGGAGCTGCAGTCCCAGCTTGGGGACTGGAGCTGCAGTCCCAGCCTTGGGACTGGAGCTGCAGTCCCAGCTTGGGGACTGGAGCTGCAGTCCCAGCTTGGGGACTGGAGCTGCAGTCCCAGCTTGGGGACTGGAGCTGCAGTCCCAGCGTGAGGACTGGAGCTGCAGTCCCAGCTTGGGGACTGGAGCTGCAGTCCCAGCCTTGGGACTGGAGCTGCAGTCCCAGCTTGGGGACTGGAGCTGCAGTCCCAGCTTGGGGACTGGAGCTGCAGTCCCAGCTTGGGGACTGGAGCTGCAGTCCCAGCTTGGGGACTGGAGCTGCAGTCCCAGCTTGGGGACTGGAGCTGCAGTCCCAGCTTGGGGACTGGAGCTGCAGTCCCAGCTTGGGGACTGGAGCTGCAGTCCCAGCTTGGGGACTGGAGCTGCAGTCCCAGCGTGGGGGCTGAAGCTGCAGTCCCAGCTTGGGGACTGGAGCTGCAGTCCCAGCTTGGGGACTGGAGCTGCAGTCCCAGCTTGGGGACTGGAGCTGCAGTCCCAGCTTGGGGACTGGAGCTGCAGTCCCAGCTTGGGGACTGGAGCTGCAGTCCCAGCTTGGGGACTGGAGCTGCAGTCCCAGCGTGAGGACTGGAGCTGCAGTCCCAGCTTGGGGACTGGAGCTGCAGTCCCAGCCTTGGGACTGGAGCTGCAGTCCCAGCTTGGGGACTGGAGCTGCAGTCCCAGCTTGGGGACTGGAGCTGCAGTCCCAGCTTGGGGACTGGAGCTGCAGTCCCAGCTTGGGGACTGGAGCTGCAGTCCCAGCTTGGGGACTGGAGCTGCAGTCCCAGCTTGGGGACTGGAGCTGCAGTCCCAGCTTGGGGACTGGAGCTGCAGTCCCAGCTTGGGGACTGGAGCTGCAGTTTCAGCTTGGGGACTGGAGCTGCAGTCCCAGCTTGGGGACTGGAGCTGCAGTCCCAGCTTGGGGACTGGAGCTGCAGTCCCAGCTTGGGGACTGGAGCTGCAGTCCCAGCGTGAGGACTGGAGCTGCAGTCCCAGCTTGGGGACTGGAGCTGCAGTCCCAGCCTTGGGACTGGAGCTGCAGTCCCAGCTTGGGGACTGGAGCTGCAGTCCCAGCTTGGGGACTGGAGCTGCAGTCCCAGCTTGGGGACTGGAGCTGCAGTCCCAGCTTGGGGACTGGAGCTGCAGTCCCAGCTTGGGGACTGGAGCTGCAGTCCCAGCTTGGGGACTGGAGCTGCAGTCCCAGCTTGGGGACTGGAGCTGCAGTCCCAGCTTGGGGACTGGAGCTGCAGTCCCAGCTTGGGGACTGGAGCTGCAGTCCCAGCTTGGGGACTGGAGCTGCAGTCCCAGCTTGGGGACTGGAGCTGCAGTCCCAGCTTGGGGACTGGAGCTGCAGTCCCAGCTTGGGGACTGGAGCTGCAGTCCCAGCTTGGGGACTGGAGCTGCAGCCCCAGCGTGGGGACTGGAGCTGCAGTCCCAGCTTGGGGACTGGAGCTGCAGTCCCAGCTTGGGGACTGGAGCTGCAGTCCCAGCTTGGGGACTGGAGCTGCAGTCCCAGCTTGGGGACTGGAGCTGCAGTCCCAGCTTGGGGACTGGAGCTGCAGTCCCAGCTTGGGGACTGGAGCTGCAGTCCCAGCTTGGGGACTGGAGCTGCAGTCCCAGCTTGGGGACTGGAGCTGCAGTCCCAGCTTGGGGACTGGAGCTGCAGTCCCAGCTTGGGGACTGGAGCTGCAGTCCCAGCTTGGGGACTGGAGCTGCAGTCCCAGCTTGGGGACTGGAGCTGCAGTCCCAGCTTGGGGACTGGAGCTGCAGTCCCAGCTTGGGGACTGGAGCTGCAGTCCCAGCTTGGGGACTGGAGCTGCAGTCCCAGCTTGGGGACTGGAGCTGCAGTCCCAGCTTGGGGACTGGAGCTGCAGTCCCAGCTTGGGGACTGGAGCTGCAGTCCCAGCTTGGGGACTGGAGCTGCAGTCCCAGCTTGGGGACTGGAGCTGCAGTCCCAGCTTGGGGACTGGAGCTGCAGTCCCAGCTTGGGGACTGGAGCTGCAGTCCCAGCTTGGGGACTGGAGCTGCAGTCCCAGCTTGGGGACTGGAGCTGCAGTCCCAGCTTGGGGACTGGAGCTGCAGTCCCAGCTTGGGGACTGGAGCTGCAGTCCCAGCTTGGGGACTGGAGCTGCAGTCCCAGCTTGGGGACTGGAGCTGCAGTCCCAGCTTGGGGACTGGAGCTGCAGTCCCAGCTTGGGGACTGGAGCTGCAGTCCCAGCTTGGGGACTGGAGCTGCAGTCCCAGCTTGGGGACTGGAGCTGCAGTCCCAGCTTGGGGACTGGAGCTGCAGTCCCAGCTTGGGGACTGGAGCTGCAGTCCCAGCTTGGGGACTGGAGCTGCAGTCCCAGCTTGGAGACTGGAGCTGCAGTCCCAGCCTTGGGACTAGAGCTGCAGTCCCAGCTTGGGGACTGGAGCTGCAGTCCCAGCTTGGGGACTGGAGCTGCAGTCCCAGCTTGGGGACTGGAGCTGCAGTCCCAGCGTGAGGACTGGAGCTGCAGTCCCAGCTTGGGGACTGGAGCTGCAGTCCCAGCTTGGGGACTGGAGCTGCAGTCCCAGCTTGGGGACTGGAGCTGCAGTCCCAGCTTGGGGACTGGAGCTGCAGTCCCAGCTTGGGGACTGGAGCTGCAGTCCCAGCTTGGGGACTGGAGCTGCAGTCCCAGCTTGGGGACTGGAGCTGCAGTCCCAGCTTGGGGACTGGAGCTGCAGTCCCAGCTTGGGGACTGGAGCTGCAGTCCCAGCTTGGGGACTGGAGCTGCAGTCCCAGCTTGGGGACTGGAGCTGCAGTCCCAGCTTGGGGACTGGAGCTGCAGTCCCAGCTTGGGGACTGGAGCTGCAGTCCCAGCTTGGGGACTGGAGCTGCAGTCCCAGCTTGGGGACTGGAGCTGCAGTCCCAGCTTGGGGACTGGAGCTGCAGTCCCAGCCTTGGGACTGGAGCTGCAGTCCCAGCTTGGGGACTGGAGCTGCAGTCCCAGCTTGGGGACTGGAGCTGCAGTCCCAGCTTGGGGACTGGAGCTGCAGTCCCAGCTTGGGGACTGGAGCTACAGTCCCAGCGTGAGGACTGGAGCTGCAGTCCCAGCTTGGGGACTGGAGCTGCAGTCCCAGCCTTGGGACTGGAGCTGCAGTCCCAGCTTGGGGACTGGAGCTGCAGTCCCAGCTTGGGGACTGGAGCTGCAGTCCCAGCTTGGGGACTGGAGCTGCAGTCCCAGCTTGGGGACTGGAGCTGCAGTCCCAGCTTGGGGACTGGAGCTGCAGTCCCAGCTTGGGGACTGGAGCTGCAGTCCCAGCTTGGGGACTGGAGCTGCAGTCCCAGCTTGGGGACTGGAGCTGCAGTCCCAGCTTGGGGACTGGAGCTGCAGTCCCAGCGTGAGGACTGGAGCTGCAGTCCCAGCTTGGGGACTGGAGCTGCAGTCCCAGCCTTGGGACTGGAGCTGCAGTCCCAGCTTGGGGACTGGAGCTGCAGTCCCAGCTTGGGGACTGGAGCTGCAGTCCCAGCTTGGGGACTGGAGCTGCAGTCCCAGCTTGGGGACTGGAGCTGCAGTCCCAGCTTGGGGACTGGAGCTGCAGTCCCAGCTTGGGGACTGGAGCTGCAGTCCCAGGTGGGGGACTGGAGCTGCAGTCCGAGCTGGGGGACTGTGGCGGATGGGACTATGGCGAGGTGAGTCAAGAAGCAGTTTGGCAGAGAGAGCACAGAGCTGTGCTTTGGTGACTGCACAATAAAGCAGCCGTGCACCTGGAGA